TCTGAAGTAATGAATTTAGGTAAATGGGTGCAGAGCCAGTGGTGGTTTTGTAGGCAAACATTAATGCCAGTACCAGCAGCTACTGGTAGCCAGTGCAAATTGATGAACAGAGGTGTGACATGCGTTCTTTTCGGCTCATTAAAGATTAATCTTGCAGCGGCATTTTGGATTAATTGTAAAGGTTTGATAGAAGTGGCTGGAAGACCTGCCAAGAGAGCATTGCAATAGTCCAGCCTGGATAGAACAAGAGCTTGAACAAGGAGTAGTGTTGCATGTTCTGAAAGAAAGGGCCTGATCTTCCTAATGTTGTATAAAGCAAATCTGCAGGACCAGGCAGTTTTAGCAATGTGGTCTGAGAAATTCAGCTTATTATCAATCACAACTCCAAGGTTTCTAGCTGTTTTTGAAGGAGTTATGGTTGATGAGCCTAACTGGATGGTGAAATTTTGATAAAGTGATGGGTTTGTTGAAACCACAAGCAGTTCGGTCTTAGCCAGGTTGAGTTGAAGGTGATTGTCTGTCATCCAACAAGAAATGTCTGTTAGACGTGCTGAGATGCGAGCATCTTTCTTCGGATCATCAGGATGGAATGAGAGCAGGGCTTAATTTGCGCCGGAACAAGCCGGATCCTGATCCGCCACCTCCGAATTTGTCCGAAATCCGATCCGGCACCTCATTTGACAGATCCCCTCCTCACGCATCAATTAAAGACGTTCGTGTTGACCTATAGCGTGCATATCTGTTATGAAAGAGACGGGACGTGGCTGCTCTCACAAACCCGAATGCACGGATCCAATACTGATACACATGCGTTTTCTTTCTCAGATGTTCACATTTAGTTAAGACAAAACCGACTGTGCTTACAAGGATACTCGCCAGGACGGCCATTTTGATGTAATTTTTTGTGTATATTTGGTATCTTGTTGGTAAGCCAACAAGCTATGAAAAATAACTCAATTTGGTACTCGCGAGGCAGCGCGCTATGCGCGCGCTATGGACGTGACTGTGAGCGCATAGAAAACCCCCTTTGGAGCACGCGAGTATCGAATGGCTTAAACTTAAAAAGATGTGCAAATGATACAGTTTTGTGACGATGCAACAATGACTCGATTAGGCAAGTGACAATTCTGTCGACTGTCCCGAAACCCGAGCAAAAGTCTTGTATCGCAGCGTGCAGTAGTGCAGACGAGATGCGCTGTTGTGAAGCTGCTTTGACTTTGAGAGTGAGAGAGAGAGAAGACGCGGTACAGCTGAATCACTCACACTGTTTTCAAATGACTGATGTGGACTGTATGTGTGGATTTATTTACTCATCTAACCTACATGCTCTATTGAATATGTTTGCAGGAATTTTCCTCATTATAAACTCAAAAGCAGATTAAACATAACTCTATTACACAGATATTTGCAGAAAAAAAATCCATGACTTTTCCCAAACTTTTCCAGGCCTGGAAATGGCTGTTTTAAAATGTCATTACTTTTTAATTTTTTTCATGACCGTAAGAAGATGCACGCTGTTAATCACATAAGCTGGTCCTCCATTGCGCGAATGCTCTGTTACCTCTCCCTCCTCTAATCACATGCCGGATCCGTCAACTCACTTTGTTCCGGGACCTCGCAATTTACAAATTAAGCACTGAATGAGAGGTAGAGTTGAGTGTCATCAGCATAGCAGTGATATGAAAAGCCATGTTTCTGAACATTTCTGAAGATGTGACAGAACCTAGTGATGCCATGTAGACAGAGAAGAGAAGTGGTCCAAATACTGAGCCCTGAGGCACCCCAGTAGCTAGATGTTGCGACTTGGACAACTCACCTCTCCAAGATACCTTGAAGGACCTATCTGAGAGGTAAGACTCAAACCACTGGCATGTGGTTCCTGAGATGCCATTTTCCAATAGGGTTGACAGGAGAATCTGGTGGTTCACCGTATCAAAAGCAGCAGATAGATCCAGCAAAATAAGTATAGAAGATTTGAAGCCGCTCTTGCCAGTCTTAGGGCTTCAACAACTGAAAGCAAGGCAGTCTCGGTCGAATGTCCACTTCTGAAGCCAGATTGGTAGAAATGGCTTGAAGGAGATGAGATGGAATAGGATCAAGCGGACAAGTAGTAGGATGATTGGAAAGGATGAGTTTAAAGACTTCTGCCTCAGAGAGTGGAGAGAAAGATGAAAATGAGAGTATGTTTGCTGGTAAGATGTGTTTTACAGTTTGTGGTGTGGCAAATTGTGCACTGAGGTTTGTAATTGTATTAATGAAGAATGTGGTAAAGTCGTCAGCTATTAGAGTTTATTTTAGGCTATTTCATACAAGTCCATATAAAAGCAATTATGCTATGTCTAGCATTCTTTTACGGTACTGAGCATAGCAAATAAATTGGTATCCACGGTATCCACTCACATGTTTAACTTTTAGTCTGCTTGTTACGGTCAAATAAATAAATAAAAAAATAAGAAATAAATAAAAAAATTAATACAGTCACATAATATATGCAACAGCCTATATGAGACAGCCCATGATCACTAGATTTTATACAGGTGTTACTATAACGATTTTGTAAATGGTGATCAGCAACCAAATATTGATAACGTGGAAGTTACTGCCTTTTATATGCCAGTCAGAATTCAGAAATTATTTCCATTATTTCCAAAATTATTTTGCCGCATTTCCACTGCGCACGCAAGATCTGAATGGGCCAGCCGGGGCTACAGCTTACAACTACGACCTTCGAGGCCACAATCAAACAGCATAAACTGGTATTTATGATTATTTCACATAGAAGAAGGACACATGTAGGCCTATTGAATCGCGTCTGCACCGATTGGTTTGCTATCACATGGCTACTTTAAACAACTCCATTAAGCCTTTAGCCCCAAAGAGCGCACATTTAGAAAGACAATGATAATTTCTCAAATGTTCACACCTAATTTCTTTACAGAGGATGATTCTATATTACTATATTTATGTTCCAGTAAATTATGCGATCATCTGATGAGTTTTGAGCGCTCTCTCTCATCTTACTGCCATTACACAGAGTGGGGAAGAAATGTCATCAAAATTATTTTAAATAAAAAATAGCAATTTAATCAGTTTCTGTTTTTATAACATAGCTATGCCTATGATATAGGACTTAGCCTATCACACAAACAAGAGTCCTGTTTTTTTTTTTTTTCGAATATCTGCACGATCTCAAATGTACAATAAACAACAATTTGCTGAGTAACTTTCAGACACAAAATTCCGTCTTGCTCCGTCAGAAAGAAAATAGAACAAAGAGCAGAACCGCTGCGTCTCCGAACAACAGTTTTGTTCCTCAGCGTTACACGGACCAGCAAATGATTCAATCAGGCAGGGGCGTAAATTTTGTCTAACAGTTGGGTGGGACAATAAACATAAAATCTCTCAAGAGCGATTTTTGAAGGGGACACAAATAATACAGCTAAAATTGTACTTTTAAGGCGATGTATACACAGAGGAAAGCCTTACTACTATTAGTGCAGCAGGGAGACCATGCCAAATTAGACAACGTCAAGCTGTTGTGGTCGCGCCGAGATAGCGCTCGTGTCCTGTATCCGTCACAGTGTTGCCAAGTCTGCGGTTTCCCCGTGGAATTGGGCTACTTTATCACTGTTGCCGCGGGTTGTTTTTCATGTCCGCGGGTTGAAGCGACCCCAATAACGTGTATTTTATCCCCCGGAATGCGATTTTTACGGGGGGGACCCCTCGAAACGTGGTTAGCTTGGGCTAGTTTTGGGTAGCAATTGGGAGGGTTTTGTTGTAAAAAACCTGGCAACCCTTTCTGTCAAGCAGGTAACCTTATTATTGCTAACATAGCGACTCATCGAAAATTACATTGGCATCATCTGTATTAAAGAGAAAATAATCCCTTCATCCGATGTTTAAGTGAATAAAATAGCCTTGACAGCCTTGGAGTTCCACAACTATTGACTTTGTTCTCTCTCACCAGACTTGTGCGTGTAGGTGATGTAAAAGAGGAAAGCAGGCATTTGGACCAAAGCACTGTGAGGCAAGGGAGCGGAGACTCAAAATGTTTCTAAACTTAAAATGCATTTTTGCCCCGTTTGTGTTGTTTTACTATTACACAATTATTTAAAGTATAAAACATTGTTATTTACAATACACAGACTGGTTTTTAATCATATTTTTAGGGGGGGGGGGACAACCCCCGGGTTATGGTTACAGGTGAAACAGTTCTATTTCTGCATTTTCATTTAGCCTGGTGCTGTTTTTCTGAAGACCAGCATGGAAATCAACCAGCTGACTTGTCCATTCTTTTTTTTTTATACAAACAATGGTTAAAAAGGATGAAACTAATTTATTGATATCTTATTGTTTTGATGATGTTACCTCAGACTATTAATCAGTTTAACTCCCTCTCCCTCATCACATGAGGTTATGAAACTTTTTTACTCAATATACAGTACGTCGCA